GCACCCCCCCCCCCCCCCCCCCACCTCCGTCTCGTGCCGGTTGAACTTGATGCTACCTGAGGGTGCGTGGGTTATATAGGGGCCTTAATATTGTATAGGGTGGGTTTTTTGGGGAATATTATACTATAATTATAATAAGGAGCCCCCCTAAAACCCTGTTCTAATTATTAAGGCCCCTAAACTCTAAACCCTTATAGTAGCCCTTATAGAATCCTTTAAGGAACACTTTAAGTTTAAGGGAGCCCCCAAAACCCTATAAAAGAGTATAGGTAATTTTTAAGGCCCCTACAGCTGAGGGGTCGGATTCACAGTTGACGGTGCTGGGGTTCAGGGAAATCGTGTCTCCCTGGTTCCTTCTATCTCTACGCGGAGTCTAGGGTTTCGGGTTTAGGGGTTTGGGGGTTTTAGGGTTTAGGGTTTGGAGTTTAGGGTTTAGGGTTTAGGCCCAGAGACTCCAATACCCCTTAATTAAGGAATATACCTGAAATCTTATCAGGGATCCTACTATAATCTAAAGTATATTCCTTATTTAAGGGGTATTGGAGTCTCTGTTAGCTCCCCGGCGAGCACTCCAACAGGGCCGCGCTGGCCCAAAGCTCTCCCGAGAGCTCCGAGAGCCATGGTTTAGGGTTTAGGGTTTAGTTTTTTGTTTAAAGGTTTTTTTTTTAGGTTTAGGGTTTAGGGTTTAGTTGTTTGTTTAAAGGTTTTTTTTTTAGGGTTTAGGGTTTAGGGTGGAAATGGCCCAAAGGCCCAACTCCATGAAACTTAAAGCCTAAACACCGAAAGTGTAAACCCTAAACCCTACATCTTCCAACCCTAAAACCCGAAACCCTAATGCAGGGGCCTTTAAAAATAGAATAGGGTTTTGGGGGTACACTATACTATAATTATCATGAGGAACCCACCAAAATAGTATAATTATTAAGGCCCCTAAATTACACCTTCGAACCCTAAACCCGAAACCCTAATCCTAAACCATAATCCCTAAACCCTAACCCTAAACCCTAAAGGACCCTACAACCTAAAGGACCCTAGACCCGAAAAGACCCCAAACCCGAAACACTAAACCCTAAACCCTAAACCCTAAACCCGAAACCCTAAACCCTAAACCCTAAACCCGAAACCCTAAACCCTAAACCCTAAACCCTAAAGGACCCTAACCCCGAAGCCCTTCTCAGGGCCCCGGACGGCGCATGGACCCAGCACGGGCAAAGAAGGTGACTCCCCGCAGGCATGGAATCTGCAGAAACGAAGGCTTCTACTATATTATAGTATATATAGAATATCATAGTATATTATAGTATATAGTATATCATAGTATACTATATAGTATAGAATATGGTATCTTATAGTACATTGCAATTATACAATGTTGTAGTATATTATAGTATACCAATATTGTTCCTGCTTCACCTTATTCTTGTCGCTTATAAGGCTTCAACATCTTCATAGTCTTCTCACTTGGAGATGGATGGGTATATTATACTATAAGTGGGGTTGCAAGTCCCCTAAGATGGGTTGTAATTAGAGTTACCTTCCTTAAACCCTAACCCTAAACCGAAACTTGAAACTACCCATGAACCTCCAAGCACCGGAACTTGAGACTGAAGAGTCGGGAAAACTGAAGTTTACGATGGAGCGTTTAGGGTTTAGGGGTTTAGGGGTTTAGGGGTTTAGGGTATAGGGTTTAAGGTTTAGGGTTTAGGATGGTTTTGGCGGTTGAGGCTCTTGCGTTTTAGGCCCAGGTCCCTTAGAAAGGGATCTATAAGGGTTTCTGCAAGCGTACTATAAGGGTCCCTATAAGGGTACTATAAGGGGTTTCTATAGGGGTACTACAAAGGTTTCTATAAGTGTACCAAAATGGCTTCTATAAGGGTACTGTAAGGGATTCTATAGGGGTAATATAAGGGTTTCGATAAGGGTATTTTAAAGGGTTCTATATGGTTAGTTCTCTAAAGAAGGGTGCCCAACTAAAAGTGTAATCAGCCGGACATATTTGTCGACATCATCCTTACCGTCATCGGTATCGCCATCGTGTGACTATGGACGATGCAGTATAAGTCCGACCCGAATGCACACTTCAAGATAGTGCCCGAGCGCCGTGCTCCTTGAATTCGCGGAGCCGCCAGTGCTCCGCAGCTGCAAGGCCAGCAGTGCTGCTGCACTGGCCGCGAGACGTCGGCCATGGCACTTGTTGCCGGCATCTCCCTGGCACGTTTGAGGGAAAGATCTGCAGCTGAACTTGGTCAACGATGACACTCTGCTTCGTCCAAGATGCGGGCAGTGCCGATGTCGCACGCACTCCCAGCGACGCGTTCAGCAGCATCAGGCCCGTCTGCCCACACCAGATAGCTCCGTCCAGTCGGGTGTCTGGCGCTTGATCGTCATCACATCAATGCTCCCGGAGTCCCAATCGGCGATGCCAGGACGCGATTTCAGAAACGGCGAGTGGTTGGGGGTAAGAGGGCAAAGGAGTAGTATGGACTGTGCATTTATAAGCTTCTAGGATGCCTCGACGAGATGCCTCGCATGACAAAGACTGGCAACACCATACACCTTTCAACCTGAAGCCTAAATCCCTGAAGCCCTGCCTGCTACAACCATCTACAAAAACCCAAAGGCCCCTGAACTTTAGCGCCCAAAGTCTACAGCCCGAAAGTCCAATCCTGACGACCTAAAGCCTGAAGCCCAGAAGGCCTCACCAGAGCATCCGAACATGTCCCGCTTGACGACCAGTGTGTCCCAGTCCCCGGCGATGCCAACGACGCAGGTGGGGTCCTCGTACTTTCGGGCTTATGCAGGGAAGTTGGGTTGTGAGGATTCAGGGTGCCGGTTTCATCGCTTAGGAGGGACTTGAGGCTATACAACTTGACGAACGACTTGTAATTCGGCTTCCAGTGGCACTAGAATCAAAGGCTCAAATCTTAGGACTGTCTCAGTACTTGCAATGGCAGGCTCCCCAACACATTTCCAGTCGCAGGCACGACCGAAGCAAAACAAAAATATTGGGTTTGCTGGAACCATATTCGGTTGGTTGGAACCGTCATGCCGCAAGATTGGCGCTTTGCAGCCTAAGCACTTACCCATGCAAATATGATATAGGATAGTATATACATATACATATACAATATAGTCTCTCTCTATATATATATATATACATAGGACTATGTATTTATGTATGAATATATGAATTAGACCAGAAACTGCATGATGGAGCTGCCTGAAAGGTGCCCATATCATCGGCCAGCTCACAGCCGTCCACTGGGAACGACCTCGGAGAATCTTTAGGTTTGAGGGGTCTGAGTCTAAGCCTTTGCGGCAGGCAGATTCTTCATGCTGCGCGTGCTAGTACCTTTCGATTAGCAACGGCAGCAACACCAGCAAAACCAACACTGTCAACACTGCCAACACCGACAACGACCACACCAGCACCAACACCATCAACAGCAACGGCAACAACAACTCCGACTCCCGACCCCGTCGACAACTCCGACTCCCGACCCCGTCGCCGACCCCGACACCTACTGCTACTGCTACTGCTACTGCTACTGCTACTGCTACTACTACTGCTACTGCTACTCCTACTCCTACTCCTACGCCTACTCCTACTCCTACTCCTACTCCTACTCCTACTCCTACTCCTAGTAGTAGTAGTAGTAGTAGTAGTAGTAGTAGCAGTAGCAGTAGTAGTAGTAGTAGTAGTAGTAGCTAC